CTGGAGAGCTTTGCGGTTGTAGGCGGTGCTGTTGCCATACCAGGTGGTGATGCATCCAGTGAGGATGCTCTCAATGGCACAGTGATAGAAGGTCCTGAAGATGCGGGGGCTCATGCCGAATCTTTTCAGTCTCCTGAGAAAGAAGAGGCGCTGCTGCGCCTTCTTCACTGTTTTGTTTGTGTGTACTGACCACGTAAGATCCTCAGCCAGATGTACACCAAGGAACCGGAAGCTGCTCACTCTCTCCACAGCAGCGCCGTTGATGGTGATGGGGGTGTGTACTTCTCTGCACCTCCGGAAGTCCACTATCAACTCCTTTGTCTTTGCGACGTTGAGGGTGAGATGGTTGTCTTGACACCAGTGGGTCAGGGCGCTGACCTCCTCCCTGTAAGCCGTCTCATCACCGTTGGTGATAAGACCCACCACTGTAGTGTCGTCCGCAAAATTCACAATGATGTTGGAGCTGTTAGTGGCTGTGCAGTCGTAGGTGTAGAGTGAGTACAGGAGAGGGCTCAGTACACACCCCTGTGGAGCACCAGTGTTCAGTGTGATGGGGGATGAGGTGATGCTGCCCAGTCTGACCACCTGGCGTCTGTCAGACAGGAAGCTAAGGATCCAGCTGCAGAGGGAGCTGCTCAGTCCTAGATCCTGCAGTTTCCTGTCCAGCTTCGAGGGAACGATGGTATTGAATGCTGAGCTGTAATCTACAAACAGCATCCTCACATACGTGTCTCTCTTCTCCAGGTGTGACAGGGCAGTGTGTAGTGTCAGGGCTATGGCATCATCAGTGGACCTGTTGTGGCGGTATGCAAACTGTAGAGGGTCCAGTGAGTCGGGTAGTGCAGAGCGGATTAAGTCCCTGACCAGCTTCTCGACGCATTTGCTTACGATGGGGGTCAGGGCTACAGGTCGCCAGTCGTTCAATGAGGAGATGGTGGAGGATTTGGGTACAGGGACGATGGTGGCCATTTTGAAGCAGGCTGGGACTACAGACAGAGAGAGGGAAAGGTTGAAGATGTGCGTGAACACTCCAGCCAGCTGAGCCGCGCATGACCTGAGGACGCGGCCGGGAATCCCGTCCGGACCAGTAGCTTTGCGTGCGTTCACCTTCCTGAAGCACTTCCGCACATCCTCCTCAGACACAGTGTGCGCACTGACGTCATCCGCGGTGCGCACACTGTCCGGTCTCATGGTGTTCGCTGTGTCGAATCTAGCGTAGAATACGTTTAGATCCTCACACAGAGAGGCCGTGGTCTGCGGTGTGCTGGTTTTCCCTCTAAAGTCTGCGATCGTGTTTAGTCCCTGCCACATACTCCGAGGGTTGTCAAACTGTTGCTCCACCCTGTCCCTGTACTCACGTTTGGCTGCTTTGATCGTCTTCCGGAGTTGGTAATGTGCGTGTTTGTAGTCCGATGTGTTCGCGGAGGCAAAGGCGGTGTTCCGTGCCGCCAGTGCCGCGCGAACATCTCCGTTAATCCAGGGTTTTTGATTTGGGAAGGATTTGACTGTTCTGGATGGGACGACATCTTCCACGCATTTCCTGATAAATCCACAGACTGAGTCTGTGTATTCATCAATGTCTCTGGCGGCCACGTGAAACATTTCCCAGTCCGCGTGATCAAAACAGTCCCGCAGCGCAGACTCCGATTGGTCCGTCCAACAGTGCACCGCCCTCCGGGTTGGAGCTTCCTGTTTCAGCTTCTGCCTGTAGGCGGGCAGGAGCAGGATGGAGCAGTGATCTGATTGGCCGAATGGGGCGCGGGGAGGGCTTTGTACAGTTGGTAGAAGCTGGTTTTCACCACTGCAGCCACTTGCTTGTCTAATTTGAGGGAACTATCCAGCACTACTCCAAGGTTTCTGACAGTAAACGATAGATGACTGGCATAGGATCCCAGGCATTGAAGGAAATCAGCGAGCGACTAGGTTTCAAATTGCAAACACACTGTGCATATCACCCACAATCTGGAGGTGCTGTGGAGAGAATGAACGGCTCCTTAAAGTCCAAGCTGGTGAAGTGCTGTGAAGAAACTGGCCTCACGTGGCCAAAAGCACTTCCCCGCGTGCTGATGTATGTGCGGACACGGACCACACCCCCAGCACACCTCAGCCCTTATGAGGTCTTGTAAGGACGGCCTGCCAGAGTGGGGGCAGAACCCCCGAAATGGGCAGGCATGTCCACAGAGTTGTGCAACAGTGAAATGATTATGTACTGTCAAAGTCTCTCTAGGACTCTCTCACAGGTACATCGAGCAGTGAAAGCAGCTCTGCCCAGACCAGCAGAAGGACCCCTGCACCATTTAGACCAGGCGACTGGATACTGGTGAATGATTTCAGGAGGAGACATTGGAAGGCAAAGCGGTGGCTGGGCCCATTCCAAGTCCTGCTGATCACACAAACAGCGGTGACGGTTGGAGAACAAGCTACTTGGATCCATGCCAGCCACTGCAAGCTGTTTGCAAACAGCTGTTTGCTGTTGCAGGCTGAAGATTACATTGATGATAGCGAGAGCGAGGATGATTGTGATGAGTAAAATTATTTTCCTGACACTGTAAGAATGATGCATATTGTGAAACCTTTTTCACTGTGCAATATTGCTGATGTAACTAACAGAATGTCAGGAAGAGAAATCCTCGGTATTAGTGATTGGGATGCAATCAAGAGGGGTTTTTTTTACATGCTGCCTAAATAACCATCATTTAAATTACAGCTCCAAGTGCTAAGTTTGGCATTAATAGTTTGACATCTGAATGTAATGTGCTGTTACAGATTAACCCTTTATTGACTATGGGCCCACCAGCGGGCCCATTTTACAGGTAAATTTGAAGGGCCGGTCAATAAAGGGTTAACTGCCTTAGTGCCAGTGGGATGGCATAAGTCGCCTGCCTGTAATCCTTTTGTGTACAACTTATATTTGATTAAAAAACACGGAGTTCAGTGAATCAGTCACAAGCAATGCATCACCCTCAAACCAATTTCAGCGATACTATTGTTCCAAAGGGAGGACATGTGGGGAGAGGAGTGTTGTGTAAATATCATTTTCCATAATCAAAGGATCTGTTTGTGGAAATTTGATAGGTTTACAGGAACGCTGCTGATCTCAGAGTTACATTGTAATAGAAACTCTACTCCCCCTTGTCATGGTCCGGGTGAGTGCCGGCTTTTTCCACAGCACCAGTAATTCCACCTTTGGGCGGAGTCGCCGGGTCATCACAGACAGACAGTACCTGGACGTAATTTGGCTGCCGGCTTTAAAGACCAGCACAATCTGGGTTGGCGTCTGGAGTTGTCTTTGACATCTGTTTCCCTTCATTGCCGTGACTCTGAGCTCCCCGGCTCCGTTACCCTTCTAACCCTTCACTTACCCCCACACCTCTGGGTTCCTGCATGGGCTGTTACCCCGTATCGGGTTCCCAGCCCTCGAACTCTCCAGCCTTCAGGCTCAATCCATGGACTCTTACTTTAGAGTGAATTCACAGCACACAGCATCTATCATAGCTCTGCTCTAGGTTAATCATAGTATTGTTGTAGTTCAAAGAGATCATAGTTTTGGCTTTTGCTCCAAGTTTATTCCTATTGAAATGTTAGTTTAATTTTGCTCACAGTTTTTCATAAGTAAGACTCCAGACTTTAGTTATAGTTACTTTATTGTCAAGTGTCATTGGTTAAATGAGTACAGTACTCTCTGTATATAGTAACCATTGTCCTTAATGTAAATATGTAAGAAAAATTGTGTATGTTTCTGTTCTGTGCCCTGTGTACTGTTTGTTTGTATATGTGTCTTTCTGGCTGCTGTTACAACCAAATTTCCCCTTGTGGGACAATTAAAGGATTATTCTATTCTATTCTATTCTTAAATCATCAGGCACGTTGTGTGTAGTTCAGCCGTTGTGTTTTCACATTACTTCACTGAACATATGAAACCACAGAGTGAAGCTTGACTAACATCTTTTGAGCTGCTTAATCTTTGGATTCCTACCATATATTCAAAGACCAAGGCAAGAACACAAGTACACACACTGAGAAACAGCCAGAGTTAGCTAGTTTAACGTGACCATGTGAATAGCTGACAGAGGAGGTGGGAATGTAGGAGCAGGAGAGCACAAACACTGGGAGCAGGGAAATTCTACTTTGTTAAATTTTACATGCTAGAAGTGCACGTAACCTGGCAAGGATGCTGATGTAGATGCTAATTAGCATTAAGCTAACTCTGTTATAGAGTGTTAATATCGTACACGGTCCCTTTTCAAACAAAACCAATTAGATAAAAATAAAAACAGCACCTTTAATATTATTATCATCATCACTCCCGAATACAGGATAAAGTGTTTCTTTAATGTGGCCCACATGTGCTCCTGCTGTGGACCTGATTTCATTGGTTAGCTGTTTAAACCAGTAAGTACCACCAACAAAGGGGCCTCACGACCAAACCAATATGTATATTCCCAAAAACATGCTCTCATCTGGTCACAGTTCAGCAGCTAACCTTATAATAAGCATCATATAGAAATGTTAAACAGTGAGATTATCTAAACTGTGACATGAGTGCAGCGTAAACATGCTAACTTCAGGAACTTATCTCAGCTGCTACAGGACAAGAAACATGTCTTTGGACTGTAGGAAGCATAAAGCAGCCAGTGGACAGCATGAGATCCAGTATTAAAGACAAACTGCTTTGATCTCAGTCTAACAGGCTGGTTTATCAGTCTACTTTAGGCTTCACTGACACACGTGGACCATCACATATTTGTAGTGACTGCCTTCACTCCACTGTGGCCTCCTGAAGACCGACCTCTCCACTTTCACTGCCTAAAGAACAGAAAGGACACAGAGCAGAGCATAAGGACAGACACATGTGAGTGTGACCCTCCATCATCTCCTCTGCTGTGTAACCAGCAGCTCCTCACTCCTGCGTCCAGTGTTTCTCTGACTTAGAGCTCAACTGATTGATCTATGAGGCGGTTTGCTTTTTGCTAAAGACACACAGAGACACAGAATCACATACCTTCTTTTTAGCCGTCTTCTACCATTGATGTTTGCGAACACCCCAGCAAAAGCCCACAGGAATAGAAATGATGATCGCAACAATGACGCATGCCAGTGTGATTATTGTTATGTTGTTGGATTTGTATTCTGTCAATAAGAAAAGACAGAAACAAAAAATCAAAACCCAGCACATCTGAAGAAATGTCCCACCAACGTTGCCCTGAACTCTGAGCTGGATCTTTAGTACTGACTGCTAGATTGGATCACCTGGAGGGTTGCCCTGCTGTGATTGGTTGTTAGGTTACAAGTGTTACCTTCTGTCATGCTCTGATGGTGGCATTTCTTTTATTTCTTTCTTCATTTTTAGCTCACTCATAACACTTGATTCAGATATCAGTATGTATCTACAGCACTGACCTCTGACATAGAGCTTCACTTGTTTCATCAGCAGGATGTTTCCCTCCCTGCTGTAGACGGTGCAGGTGTAGACTTGTGTGTCTCCATCTGTGGGGTGTTTCAGGGTCAGACTGAGGTCTCCAGTTTTCACCAGGTTTGCATACATCTCTGTTCGGCCTCTGTAATCCTTACTCTGTTCAACTGGCTGGTCCAGGCCATCTTGAAATACATGGACCCTATGATTACCACTGTCCATCCACTCCACTTTAGCATCTTCAGCCAGATGATGTGTGGTTTTGCAGGGCAGCTGGACAGACGCCACCCCTGAATCCACCTCCTCTCTGTCAGCTGAGAGAACAACAAAGCATATCATGAGCTGTACAGACAGAAGAAAATCCTGAAGTTCATCTTTACTGCAGATCAACCAGGTGTCCTTTCTGATGAACTGTGATGCAGGATTTAAATTGAAATCAAAGAACTGAAGATCGCTGATGGACTGTGTGATATTCAGTTCCTGCACAGTAAAAATGAATGTATATAGTTTTGCGATGGCCAGTGGCTGAGCTGTGGTCTAGTTCAAAAAGCAGTAGTTTGCTTCTGTGTATGCCTTTGATGATTATTGACTTCATCAGAGGGACTCTAGAGACTTCACTGAGCTTTGAGGGCACCACCTCCACGTGTGCTTCACTCTGTGTTTTCTGGCATGTGAATTAGACACTTAGTCAGAATTACTTGATCTCACACTCTGGTATCATTCACAATTGCTTCTCAGCATGCAGCACATTTTGAATTTCCCTGAAAAAGAACCAACAAGACTGCAGGAATGAAAGAAAACAGAAGATAATCTCCTTGCAGATGAAATAAATGTAGCTTCTAATGCAGTTATTCTTACATTTGAACCATTGGTCTGACCAGTGAATGTGATCAAAGGCGGGATTCAGATTTCCATGTTTTGGTGGGAGGTTTGTGTTCAGCTCTTCCAGTTTGCTAAAGTTTGGGTGAGTGACACAGAACGACTCATGAACTGCATTATGGGTACTGTAGTATAAGAGGATAAACAGACATAGACCTCTGAAGAGTATTGACCTTTGACCTGGTATCATAGGTGTTGAGGTTTGTGGCTGACCTTTGACCTGCAGCTGTACATCTGTCAGTGTCCGTTCTTTCCTCCCATCACTGAGGGTGCAGCTATATTTGCCGCTGTCGGTCAGTTGTGGTTTTCTCAGAGTGAGGCTGAAGTCTAAAGAGTCCAGAGCATCAGGCCTCATCGACGTGCGCCTGCTGTAACTCCGGTTTTGTCCTTTAAGATCATCTCCTTCTTTTCGTCGTACGTGGACGGTTGTGGGATCGAGATCATTGCGGGTCCAAGTCACTGTGGGATTGTCGTCAGGTATGAAACCTGAGTGCTGACAGGGCAGCTGGACAGACTCTGCCTCTGTATTTCCTTCTACCTCCACAGCCAGAGCATGCTGGGAAACTGAGGACACAAAACAAAAGAGCACAAATTAACTGCATGCTGTGGGTTCAACCATCCTCAAATCAACAACAAGGCACTTATCATAGATGGTTTAGTCGTCTTAGTAATAATAAAGTATAACATATGTTGGCTCCTGATGATGGCTCCTGGGAACATTCAGGTTTCTTCTTCTAGTTCCCTGTGATGAGTGGAGGACATCGTCAGGAGATCCGACCCTGAAAGTTCACTAGAGGATCAGCCACAGCTGAACACTGTGGATTTTACATGTTGGATTTATCATTTTGGCTTTTCTCTGCTCATTTTTACCGTGTTGGATTTTAACCTCCAAGGATTTGGTTCCCTTCCTGTGGGATTATATCCACACAGATCAGAGATTAGTACATCTCCAGACTTCAATGTGCTCCTCATCCTCTCTCCTCTCCAGGTCAGCATTAGAAATCACCATTAGTAGGTTCATTAGATAAGAATAATTTAGGTGATTTGACAGACTGGTAAACCTCTGGCCTTAAAACCTAACAGATCCTTGGGGCCTATTTTACAGGTGACTAAACTATAACCTGGTCAGTTATCAAATTCACAGATTTAGAGCAGCTGATGATGGATGTGACTGAAGGTGCTTGGCTGCAAGGCCACCCTGGCAAGCACAGCTTTAGTGAAAGCAGGATCCACATTCGGACAGCAATCAGAACTGGGTGAGTCTCCTGCCCTGCTCCACCCGAGCTCTGTTTCCCTACTGGCAGTAATACTCGTGGGATCAGAGACTTCGACCTATAAGCAGAGAGCCGTTCCAGACTTTCCTGTACTGGGGTTCATAGTACAATCTACAGCATCGAAGACCGTCATTATTAACAGCCCGTGGTGCTCTTTCCTTATTCCTCCTTGTTCTGTATTTAGTTTAGAAATGGTGCAAAATTCTCACATGGATACAAATTTTGTAACTGTTAAGTTACGTCATTGAATTTACATGTAATGTATGTACATGTTTGGCCCTGTGTAGATTAAAGAACATCCAAAATATATTAAAGCTTGTGCACCGAATTTTAAACTCAGTAAAGGTGGATGCTGTACAATCAATCCACCTTAAAAACAAACAGGTCAAATAAATCATCAAACCCTCCAAGTTACCACCATACCCATGCCTGTTCTGACCACAGCTGTGACTAGATTATAAATAATGATGACAATCACTGCATCATTGACAGTAACAGCATTTCACATGAATAAATACAGTAAATGATTCAAATATAACACCTGTGATAATAACATTACCGTTCATGAGGAGCAGAAATAGCAGAAACATCTTCCGCCTGGTGTTTCTGTTAAATCTTCAGCAAACACAATGAAACACAACCTAAACTCACTGTCAGCCAGAACAGAAACTGCTGACGCACAAAGAAAAGTTTACTTTCACTTCCAGAACAAGTATCCATGTGTGAACCACAACTCAGGAACAATAGGACATGAGGGTACTTCTGACACTGGAAACAACATCTCACCGATTTCACAGTTAGACAGTAAAAGGTGTTCACATTTTTTACAGTGTAACATTAGATGATACCTGTTTGTCCAATTCAAACATCAGATTAAACTTCAAAGTTTTCTTTAAAGCAGTGTTTTCTTTACACACAAACTCACTGGCTTCACTTTAAGTTAGTGATGAAGTGGACTTATGTCTCTTTACTACAAATATAAACACATTTCATTGTTTCTGAAAATGATCAAAGTAAAAAATTCAATAAGGCTCTATGAACTTACATCTTCACTCAGTTCCTGTTCTTGCTTCCCATCTTCAAACTTCTTCTCCTTTTCTGTCTCAGTTTGAAACACAGGCCCTTTTATTGTTGTTAACTAAGCGTAAGGACGCATGTGTGTGATGTATCCTGGGCTGTGATATGGTGCCTCAAGTGGCCTGTGTGGGTAAGACAGGGAGGATCCAAGAAAAAAGACGAGGGACCCTCAGAGGCCTCTGTGTGTAATAATCTAGCTGATCCTTGTGAAGGAAACGCTCCATATGTTGATATTTTATCTCCTTGTAATCAGTCAGCAGGTGATATTTTATTACACAGCAAACTCAGAACACTAGTTGTGACTATAGCACAGAGCTCATCTGTAAGTGTACCAGGGTTACAGTCCATCTCAGTTAAATGCTTGCAGGCTGCTGCCATGATGTCTGTACTGTTGTTTGACCTCTTCGAAAGCTAAATCATACTCACAAAGAAAACAAGCCTGAGGACACGCTGATGTAATGTGTCTGTAGCTAGCAAGAAATCTCACTAACACCGGCTCTCTCACTAACTGAAGGATTGCAGAATTAATCTATTTTCTGTTAAATTTACTGAAGCTTGTCTAAAAGCAAAACAAGAGACAGAGTCCAGACTGATTTATTGATTTTATAAATGGAGGCCGTCTCTGTGATCATTTACACTAAAACCATCGTAACCAAAACATTTACAGCACTTGTTATCAGCACATTTGTTCTTAAACTTGGAGATAGTTCAGAATCAGTCATCTTCCTTTGCTGCAGCCACGTCTCACATCAGCTGTGGGTTTATGAAGGCTAAATGTTTCTGAGGATCAGAATATGGACGAGTGTTTCATATGTGGATGTCATACAGTACACAAAGACATGTTTATTCTTTACACAGCAGAGAGATGAGTCAGCTCAAAGGTGTGCAGGTTTAGGAGAAGCCTTTGTTCTTAGACTCAAACAAACCCAGAAACATATTAGTAATCAAACATATCCTAAAACTTCTAGCTTGCTAATGTTTGTTTGTGTGCTTTTATTTTGAACATGTTAAAATAATAACAACTAAAAAACACACACACATAAACCAAAGCAGCATAAGGAGAACAGAATAATAATAGAATAATATTAATAATAATAACAGAAAAATTTAAATCTAATATCCTAATCCTAATAAATAATTGAGCTAATTTAATCCCACCCCTTTCTTCTTTTTCCACCAGTTATCCTGTTCATCCAATCAAAAATCCTTCCTTTAAACATTTTTTTGATAAAAATCATTCTGAGTTACAGTTTACCTGTGCTGACGTCTACAGCTGAACAGGACTAGAACATTTTTAGATGTAATAAATAATAGAAAACAGAGTGTTAACTGTAAAGTAAGACGTGGTCTATAATGGGTTTACTTTGAGATTGGAGACATTATGTAAACTGTATTTATGTGATTAGGAGTTTGTTAGATGAGGCCTGTATTTAAAAGTAAACTGAGGTCACGAATCAAAGGGGGAATTCAAGTAGCTCTTCGTCATCATCATCATCATCATCATCATCCTCTTCCTCCTCCTGACTGACAGACAGAAAGGAGGAAGGCTGGATACTGCCAGGCATATTACAGAAAGGCCTAATAGGTTAGGATATATGTAATATGCCTGTGCAGTGAATTCATTCCCTATATTTATTTTTACGCCCCAAAAGTTCCCAAAAAGTTTTCTCCAGTTATATTGTATACCAAAAATACCTAAATTAAAAAAAATATGTACAACATTAAATAATTATCTAGTTAATGTAAACATAATATTAGACTAGACTATTTTTGGAGAAATACCAGTGGGACAGTTTTCTGTGTGATGAAAAATAAAGACCTCTGAAAATGTAAAGTTGTTGTGTAATCACTATATATATATATATATATATATATATATATATATATATATAAACACCCAGCACGCCCCTGCGGGCGGTTTATCCTTCAAGCTCGGGTCCTCTACCAGAGGCCTGGGGGCTTGAGGGTCCTGCGCAGTATCTTAGCTGTTCCCAGGACTGCGCTCTTCTGGACAGAGATCTCCGATGTTGTTCCCGGGATCTGCTGGAGCCACTCGCCTAGCTTGGGAATTCTCAGAGCTTGTTCTTGTGCTGCCATGATTAGTGCCTCTGTGCTGTCTTTCAGTCCATCTTTGTCCAGCCACTGGTAGGATTTCTGGATATCAGCCACCTCCTCTATCTGCCGGTGGTACATACCGTGCAGGGTCCTGTCCTTCCATGATGGTTCCTCGTCTCCCTCCTCTTTCTTGGGTTTCTGCTGCCTGAGGTATTCACTGAGCACTCGGTCAGTTGGGGCCATTAATGTATTCTTGGATGTTTGTTGTCTCATCCTGGACTGTGGTGCTGACACTCACCAGTCCCCGGCCCCCTTCCTTCCGCTTAGCGTACAGCCTCAGGGTGCTGGACTTGGGGTGAAACCCTCCATGCATGGTAAGGAGCTTTCTTGTCTTTATGTCAGTGGCTTCTATCTCCTCCTTTGGCCAGCCTATTACCCCAGCTGGGTACCTGATCACGGGCAGGGCGTACGTGTTGATGGCCCGGATCTTGTTCTTACCATTCAGCTGACTCCTCAGGACTTGCCTGACCCTCTGCAGGTACTTGGTGGTTGCAGCTTTTCTAGCGGCCTCTTCATGGTTCCCATTCGCCTGCGGGATCCCCAGGTACTTGTAACTGTCCTCTATGTCTGCAATGTTGCCTTCTGGTAGTTCAATCCCCTCAGTTCTGACTACCTTCCCTCTCTTTGTTACCATCCGACTACACTTCTCCAGTCCGAACGACATTCCAATGTCATTGCTGTATAGCCTGGTAGTGTGGATCAGTGAATCGATGTCTCGTTCACTCTTGGCATACAGCTTGATGTCATCCATGTACAGGAGGTGGCTGACAACTGCTCCGTTCCGTAGTCGGTATCCGTAGCCAGTGTTGTTAATGATCTCACTGCAGCTGGATAGCGTAGTGGTTAGACTACACGCCTTTGGAACAGAGGTTCGCAAATTCGATTCCTGCCTGGGGCGTCTGTATCCAGTAAGGGTCCTAAGGCTAGACCCCCTATGCTAAGCAAGCCTACTGCAGACATGAGCGAGACAGATAAATATGAAGGCATGCCGGCTCGGACGTCGCCCGGATCAACAAGGTCCGCGTCAGGTGTTGAGGAACCAGGGCACCCTGACAAAAAGTGGGCTACTGGAACAAGAAGGCATCGGTGGGCAAGAGACGATATATATATATATAATATATATATATATATATATTAGGGGTGCAACAATATTCGTATCGATATTGAACCGTTTGATACAGTGCTTTCGGTTTGGTAAGCATATGTATCGAACAATACAACATTTGTAATTTTAAAAAAAAATGTAATTTATTTTATCAACTTTCCTTCTGACGATGCTGTCTGTGTTGAGCGCTCAGTGAATCTGCGTTCGACTACTCCGCCTAGGCTGCACTGTCGAGCGCAGATCCACTGAGCGCTCAACACAGACAGCATTGTCAGAAGGAAGTGCGCAGGGCACCTCCCCCACCCTCATTCAGATCTGGCGTTTGGAATTATTTTGGTTTTCATGTGACGTATGACCCTGAAGGTAAGCGAGTCATGGAATAAAGTAAAACAGTATGTTGGATGTGCCATGCAATGCTCAATTACATGGGTGGGAACTAGTGTGTTAGCGCAGTTAGCTCGTTAACGTGTTGGCCGTCTAGCCCCATGCACGGAGCAATCGGCGGTAGCTCGTTAACGGAGATTTGCCGTGTTGTGGCGTTAAGGTCATTTCAACGAGATTAACCTGAAAGCACTAGTGGGAACACAACGAATATGACTGCACATTTACGCCGACATCGTCCTAGTGCAAAGACAAAAACAACAAGCATGCTACTAACTTTAGCCGAGTCATTTAGACAGCTGTTAGCACATGATTCTCCTTATGCTGCTGAGAATATAGCCCGGAAGAAGCGGATAGTATAGCTTTTATTTTGGAAAGAGACATTTCTCTGTAATAAACTCTCTTTTCCAAAGATGAGTGATTCCTCAATCAGATACAGGGCTCGCAATATCGCTAGCCTGACGTCCTGGAGCTAGCGATTTTTTCAGTCGGGCTACCAAAATCTATCTCTTCCCTGCCCGTCTGGCTATCGTAGGAAGGAAAAATATATGTCAATGCTTTTGCATTCTTTCAGAAATGTAGCTGGGTAATTATGTCATTGGCATCGGTGAGCCACTGTCAATATGTGACATATTGAAATCGCGTTTGAATTTGCGCTTGTTTTTTTGCTTTCACTTTGCAATCGTGCGAACTGTGTATAGAGAGCGACAGCACTGATCTGTGAGTGATGATAATTTGTGCACCAATTCCTCTGACATCGTCTTATTAATCGTTAGCTTACTATGCAAACATGACAAGTGAAATCTCCCGCAGCAAGCTTAAACATGTGAGAGGTTGATCGCGCAGAGAATCGTTGAGCTTATGTGAGTCGTGTGTAAAAGCAGCAGGATGTATATTTTAGTTCTGCTGAGC